CCGCCCCCCCCCTCCACTCCGGAAGCCTGTTCTCCCCCCCCCTGCCCCCGGCCGGGGCATGAAACCAAACCAAACATCCTATTAGTGGGCACTCACTTTGATTTTTACTAATCAATTTAAAATCCATTAGAGGGATCCCTCCGCGGCCCGAACCCGTGCGAGCGGTTCCCACTTTTCGATTTTTTTTCGGTTTGCCCCCCCCCCCCCCCCCCCCCCCCGGTCGATGGGTTGTCGCGGCTAATTAACCGAACACTTGAAGGAATGAAAATCGAGTCGTAATAATTAAGCCGGGATGGATCGTTAAGCGCTGTGAGGACGCCCGATCGCTCTGCTGAGGTAAAACATCGTATGAGCCTTCAGGCGTTGCCGGATGTCTCCGATAAAATAGGAATTTTCAAAGAGACTGTCAAGGCCGGATTCACCTACTTGCCGCCCATGGGCCGCCTATATTTTGCCGCCCCCTTCTCATTCGTTATGAAACTCGATAAAAACCATCAAATGAAGTGCCAGCAGGAAAGAAGTGCATATAAGACGCATTTACTCCTGTTGAACACATTTTTTGGGAAAGCCCTGTCAACACTACCAGCATAAGTTCACGAAACTTTGCGCGAAAGTTAAGTTCCATAAACCTATCTCTGTGTGGACAAAGCCTTCCATTCATAAGAAATGAACGAATAAATTATGAAAGAACAAACATAAATGTGGATTAATGATTTTAACTTCCGCCGCCGCGCCTCGCAGGCCGCACTGTGTTTGACGCAATGCGTGAAGTATTCACTCAGTCTTATAGGCGCTATGCGTCTCACGCTGATCGCACTGTGTTTGCCGCAATGCGTGAGGTATTCATGCATTCTTGTAGTCGCTATCCGTTTCACGCTGTCCGCAATGACCGCACTCTGTTTGATGCAATGCGTGAAGTATTATTCATGCAATCTTGTGGACGCTAATGTGTGTTACATGCCGATCGCTGCGCCGAGGGCTTCTCCTTTTCATCTTAATTCCTCGTCATTATTTCTCTCTAGGTAAGTCCAGACCAAGACCAATCCACACAGGTCAGTCATTGCGCATCTTTTTGAAAGCCACTTCCCCGCCCGGCCCTAACTCAGCTGCACTCAATAGTACGTCACAATGGGTGCTCCCATAAGAAATACATTGCAGGCACTCAATACTACGTCACTGCGCAGTAGAGTACCAAAACTCGTCCACGGGAATGACTGACCTGTGTGGATTGGTCTTGGTCCAGACCAAACCGTGGCGCCGTTCCAGGCCAAATTGCGTGTTTGGTTTCTCTCTTAACTCGACTAATTAAAGGTGCTGTCTCTTGTATCACCGAAAGACGACAAAATTAGAAATTATTGTACTCTCAGAAAATTAGAGATTTTGTCGCCTTATTTTCTCGTTTGTACTTTTTTTTTCTAAATCCGAATTTTTTTTATACCTACATTTAAAAAAATTGCAAAATTTGCCGCCCCCTATAGATTTGCCGCCATGAGCCGCGGCCCATGTGGCCACCCCCTTAATCCGGCCCTGTCTCTCTCCTTAAACTACAGCGCTCTGCAAAGGAAAAACGCCGTGAGAGCGTTCAGAGTTGTCAAAAATAGTAATTTTCCAGAGAAGTTATGAATTTATTTTCTTAAAGTTGTCAGAAACGCTCGATTGGATTGTAGGTAAGAAAAGTCTTTAGGATATTTGAAGAAAAAACATTACATATATTTTCCTAAAAATCCATTTTTTATTCGAGATAATTGGACAACGTCCTTAGCATACTGAAGATGAACGATGGCTTGGCGGCCTAGGTGCTCGAGATCATATGAATCGTGCGATTCGAAAACGAACCAACTTTAAGGGAGAAAAAACTGCAAAAGACCACAAAAAGGGTTTGTAACCGATAGTTTTCGACGATTTGGACTGATACTGTTGCGCAAGTTTGACGTATTTAAATAAAAAGGAAATATGTCCATTTTAACATGAGCCCAGAGATCCATAAGAATACACGCATGACAGGGTTCATATCGCAATGGATATAGTTCATTTTAATTTAAATGCGTCCAGTTGTCGCACACTATCATACCCCGCAAGAAAAACAGGCAAGTTTTCGCTATGTTTGTCTTGGAAATATAAGCGACTAAAAACTCCAGACAGGGATTGTCATCAAGCTGAATGAAACCTCTAAAAATTTCATACGAAAAAAAGAAAAAAAAACGGAAAAATAAATGAATCACAATGAAAGTTGTGACTGGCCCTGCCTAAAATCAATTTTTCGTCAAGAAAAGGAATTCCTGAAATTGGTGCCGTTGAGTCACTTTTGAACTAAAAACTCAGTTAAAAATAAAAAACAGAATCATAGACCCTAGTCTGCACAGAAAAAAGACTGATTATGTGGCCGCTATCTGATTGGTCCATCACTGGCTGAAAGTCGAAGAATGCGTGTACATCGTTTAATATATTCGAATTACCTTCTTTTTAATTTTTAAAGGAAAACAAACTAAAAAATCTCCTTGAAATATTCTGTTAATATTTTGGAGAAAGCAAAGAAAATTCACAAAGAATTTCAAGATTAACTGCCGGAGTGCCGGCGCTTTTTAAAAAGCGCCGAATAAAGCCCCTTCAAGAAAATAATAATACAATCTATACATTAGTGTAAGATTGATTGCATAGCCGGCGTTTTGAAGGAAATCTTTCTTATCGCAACAATATTGACCAATCATAAACGTCGAAATGAAAGAGGAAAGTCAATTCCAATAGGTAGGTAGCTAATTAATACTTGGACAGCGTAACTAGATCAGTCACTACAGTTACGGATTTTTAATTTCCCCTCAAATTTAATTATTTCAGGAAAACTATGAGCAACTGTCTTAGTTTTCCTAAGTAAGTTGCTTACATGTCAACAGACAATTTTATTTTTTTATTTTTATAGTTACCTATAAAAAGATACGTACATACGGTCACTAGGGCCCCAAAACACACCTATCTTATTGACGCAATTAATAGCTCACAATCAGTACATAAATAATGGTCTGAATCTCAACTAACATACAACTTCGAAAAAAAAAAAAAAAAAAAAAAAAAAAAAAAATTCACCACACAATTTGCTCGTAAAATGTACCTATGCAAAATACAACTAATCTTGTAAATGAAACTATTCAAAAAGACGATCAAGAAAAATAGACAAAATATAATCTCGTTCATCTGTAAACTATTCCCTACTCACTGTTTTCAAAAATGTGGCTTGGTACCATTTTCTTTGGCTTAGTCCTGTGTAATTTGAATCAATGCGAATGTTTGCAAAGTGTTTTCAAAAATAATTTTTGGAAAGTGCATAATCAATGAAATGCTTGCTTTTTTTCCTTTCTTGTATCGATAATCAAAATGCAAAACTTTGTATCTGCATTGCAGGGTTTCAAAATCTCTGCTCTTTTTTCATTTTTTCAAAGAGAAACAGGTCAACTACGTAGCTTAAAATTACAAAGGAATATCCAGCTAATAGGGAAGAAAGATCAAGGAAACTCTCAAGAAATTACGTTGACTATTCTTCTTGAGAAAAAATTAAATATGACCAGAAGTCTGCAATGCCTCAAATGGAGATACATAGTTTCGCACTTTAGCCATCGATACAATCTTTCAGCTCAGATAAAGACTTCCACAGTCACCCAAAAACCGTCCATGTTCCCATCGGAAAAATATTGTGCCAAGAAATTCTGTGAGATCACAAGCGGAGTTGAACGCTGTACCACCATTGTTTCTTAATTTATAATCAGGTCGCAATGGTAACAAGAGATTATGTCCCTTGATGGTGCTTGCGTAGTATTGTTGTCTAAAGGGAATATTTTGTTACTTTTTTGAAATGTGATCATTTGTTACTGATTTGAATCGTATGGCAGTCATGATCTGTTCAGATGCCAAATTCTTACGTCCAATATTGATGGAGATACTGCCATCACAAAACATGGAGCATGACATCATCCACCACAGCAGTGAGATGATGTAATACACTATGTTTTTAGAGAGGCAATAACTCCGTTAATATTGAGCGCAGAAACTAAACATATAGACAGACCTCATTATTTTTTGCTAATTTATAAACTTAAACCATCAGTTCAAAAATCAACGCAACTACCATCAATAAGTTTGACACATTTTGCATGAAATTTTGATGGAAAAATACTCTTTGCGATTTTTAAAAATGTTCCTTGTCGAGAAGTCTCAAATAAGCTGGAGTATGAACTTCAGAGAGTGAGGAATGAGGGACAACTGATATATAAAATGAAAACTTTAATCAATATTATTTGGGATACATATAAATAAAACTTTGTGTAAAAATTCATTATTAATTATGACCATCAAAAGAACAACCAATATTTCACAGGCATCAGAATAAAAAATCATAAAGCTTAAACAAGGAGGGATAATAGCAATTTTATAAAGTGCATAGACCACGATGATTCATATTTTAAAACTTTGTAAAGAATTAAAGAGAACAAAAACAACTACAAAAGTCCAATCCTACTTATCAGAGGACAACAATAATTTTCTCTAAGTACAGGGGATATTTTATTTCCTTTTTCCTGCCATGGGAGATTTTTTAAGTTGAGAAATAAAAAATTCATGACACTTCCTGCCACTTGAACAAATTCAACAAAATTTGACTGTAAAATAAATTGTTAGATATATAAAACAAAAGAAATTTTGAACATGAAAAGTCAAGGGTCAGGACTTTGTTCTGGACGTAAGAAAAATGAGTGAAATCTCATAGGACAACTTTTTGGCTTAAAAACTTATAAACAACACAATTTTTTTTATGATAATTTGATTTTGCTCCTAATTTTTAAGATCGCTTTTCATTTCTTGAATTTTAAATTATTTTGGCTGAGTGATGAAACAACAAAAACTTGCTTTGATCGTTAATTTTTAAAAACGGGGTTTTAAACTTTGAGTGTAACGATTGAGCTAAAATTTTTGTTCGGCAAGATGAGAAAACTTATTATGCGATAATAAATGTTAAAATATTTTAAACTTTGATCAAAACTTGGTTTCTGTAGACAAACGACTTCAATGATGTTAAAATACTTATAGGTAAAATGACTCTAAGTTTTAATGACAATGATCTATTAATTCACTTTGATCAAAAAATGTATCATGCATTGGAGTGTTGGGGAGAGATTAATTTTTTACATAGTGTGACTTAGGCTAAAAACTTCATCTAATATAATAAAATAAAATTTGTACGGCACAACATTACAGTCTTTTAATCAAAAAGATAACTCCGAGCATTAAGAAAGGACTAAAATTAATGAAAGCGAGTGAGACAATTCTAAAACTCAAAATATATAAGGAACAGAATATGTTGCACTATTAGATGGATGACATTACGCAAGAAGGAATTGACTCATCGGTATAATGTATTTTCCCTGGATCTCCGTGGGTTGATAAAGGGTACAAACGTTGATGCTTTTCAGCGTACTTCTGTCCAAAGTCATACACATAGCAAAGGCAGTCCCTAATTAAATGAGACTGGTGCTGTAACATTTGAGCTCAGGCAGCTAGGGAGCTGATTGTGGTTGCTTTGAAGGGACAACTCGTTTTTCATCGATTAACACAAAGTTTACTTTATTTTCCCAAAAATTCGCTTCGAAAAATGTTTGAAAGTTTGAAAAAAAGTTATACTACCCCCTGTCATTTTAAGAACGAGTATTTCGTCCTGAGTAAAGCTCTTCAAACACTATTTTCCAAAATTTCATTAACATTGTAGAGTAGCCAACATATAATAAGACAAGAAAACAAATCACTACAAAATAAAATAATACTTCACAACGATATCTTTCATGCGATATCTAACAGCAGTGATAGGTAAGTATTTGCGGTTTTTGTGTGATTGATTATTTCTACGAAAATTAGATTCTGTGTTTTGGCAATATATCACAAAACGTTCTTCCTTTTCAAGTTCTTTTCCCTCTTCCATACCAAAATACAGAATCTTTGGATGAAATGCACTAACCACACAAAAACTGTGAGTACTCACTCAAATAGATCTGACTGACATAACTTCTCACGAAAGTATCCAGATGCTGTGAGATGACTTAAATTTTTTTGATGTGGTTATTCAAGTAGTATTTTATGCTGGCCATTTCATATAGTCAACAAAGTTTCAAAATATAGTGTATTAGGAGGTCTCAGAGCTTATAGTATAGATGAAGAGCTTTTTTCTAGGAAGGAAAACTCATGCTTGAAATGGCAAGGGGCAGTAAAACTTTTTTTGTTTCTTTTTTAAAACCTTCATAATTTTGTAAAATTTAAGGCAAATAAAGTAAACTTGGTTTTAACTGACAGAAAACAAGATGTTCTTTCAAACGCAACCAAAATTAGCTCTCTAATTGCCTAAATTCAAAAGGTATAGCATCAGTCTTCTATAAAAAGTAGTCGTATTTTGTTTGACGAAACAATTCGGAACACCTCGTAACAACCGTATTTTGTTCGAATGTTTTTTATGTTAAGGGGCGTGGCCTATTTTTTCATTTTGCACAATTCGGCAGCGTTTGTAACATTGTTTCGAAACAATCGTAACGTCCTCCAAGCTTGTTTTGGCGAGGTTGAAACAGTTGAAACCGGATTTCTTACCTCACTTTTGGCAGCTCCACTCTCATTGGCTGCAAAGAAAAGTGACGCAAATAACAAAAAACAGAAAACATGTTTCGTCGAACAAAATACGACTAGTCTTTCCGAGTTTAAAAAAGAATTAGAATTAAATTTCACTTTAAGTTTTTTGAAGTTGCTGGCTTATCCCTTATTAACAGTCCTGTTCAAGCATTATCTCCTATTTTTTATGCAAGGCCTTGCCTTTTAATTCTAGAAAAAATTAGCTATTAGGCTCAAAAATTTTGCTAGATTTGGAAGATAATGACAAGAGCTTAAAAATACAAATACTAAAATGAACATAAAAGAATGTAACAATATAATACTTAAACTTAAGGATGTGACGTTTCCATTGGCTTATTGTAAGAATGGTACTTATTTCAACATTTTTCGCACCATGTAATTCAAGATACCTCCGTGATGGAAGTAAAGCAAATCGACTTCGGTGTCGAACCGGACGATGACCGTGAATGATTTGCCACTGTCGGTCTGGAATACACAAGAGAGAAAGGATGTTGTTATTCTTTGAGTATTTTTATTAGTTTTCAATACTTTCCGAAGCATTCATGTTCATCAGTCATTGTTATTACTTTACAGAGGGTGCTTTTCGCAATCCGGTTATATTATTTTTTTTTTCAGCTACAAGTAAACTCATTGATATACTGCACGAAAAAGGGAAAAAATCAAGGATTCACGACAATGCTTTCCCGGGATGACTTTTAAAATACGACAACTTTGAAATGGAAGAAATCATGGTATGTACTGGGGCAACATTATCTCTATTATGATTAGACGCAAATAACTTGTCAGTTACAAAAATTATACACAAAAAAATATTCTTTTACCAGATAGTAGCGTTTGACCATTAAAACAAGATTCTGTGACCAACATCGCTAACCCATTGTACCAAAAAAAAAAGAATAAAAAAATTGCATGAAATTTGTGAGAAAATATCTTAATATTTTCATTTCTTTCTTTCTCTTTTCCAGAACTTACTTAACTTTTTAAGGGATACAGTTCATAGCACACACCAGTTTTGTACTGTAAAAACGTATTAATGAAAAATGTAACCAAGCATATCAATCGTCATAGCTGCGAAACATGTATCTGATTTGAAACACTGGAGATTTCTTGTAACACTATATTTTTTTGAAAGAAAAGTAAGAAAGATGGTTTCTTGGAATTGAGACTGACTTTCCTTCATCCTGTAAAGAATATTCTGTGAAAATATCAAAGAATGAAGTTCATTGGTTTTTTTCAGAATAAAACAACAGCAGCAGATATTTAAATTAAATTAAATTCTTCCGTTCATTGCGCATTCTAAAAACTCTTAATCTGTTATGTTATGTTATGTTGTAAATTCTTGCAGAGCAACTTCAGAGCAAAGAAAAACTGTAAAAGTTAAAAAAAAATTGTAAAAAAGATGGACTCTCACCGTTACGGTAATCTTTTGAAGAGGCTTAATGTCAGGAGAGATTGGAATTGTGTATTTCTCATGGCCGGTTAATTTAAGGCTCTCAGCATTCTCTCCAGGTGAGAATTGAAGGGGTACGATTCCCATTCCAACTAAGTTTGAGCGATGGATTCTTTCAAAAGATTCAGCAATAACTGCTTTCACACCCTGAAATAAAAGAAAAAAACAACCTAAATAAGAGACACATTTTCCTTGATTTTAAAGTATTCTTTTTGAGAAATCTAAGGAGGAGGTCCAGTATTTATGGACAAAATAGGCCAGGGCTTAAGGCAAAAATAATATGAAAAAGATGAGTGGGGAATATTTCAAAAGAGATGACCTCTTTTGTTTTATTTTTCTGTCATTTAAATTTTGTCAAGCTGCTAAGTAGAATCATATAAAATTAAAAAGTCACATTCAAAAGAAGAAAAAAAGAGGGGCAGAAAAAAAAAATTTATAACTATAGACCTATAGGTGCGGTAAATATGTGTTAGCCATGAGTGGTAAAATTATTAATAATCCAGCTCCCATGAAAAGCCATCAAAATACGGATAGCAATGCATCAGTAGCCACGTTACAAATATTTTACTCCTATTTAACTTTTGTTTGAAATTTTGGGCCCAAATTCTTGAGACACTGAGAAAAAAACACACAAAACTTCTCTAGCGTTAGTTATTGCTCGAAACTCAAGCAACTTTTCTCTGAATTCTGGTTAATTTTGTTGATTTTACTTAACAGTTTGCAATTTTTCAGGTTTTCTCTGACTGTGGCTACACTAGAGATTCGTCACTTAAAGTAAAATGAAGCACCTACAGGCTCAGTTACGCTTAGTCACAATACCAACCAGAAGGAAAGGTCCTTTGGCAGCCCAATCTCTTGAGGAGCCTGATCCGTACTCCTTTCCAACAATGAGGATGAGGGGGTTGTTCTCTTTGGCATAAATTTGAGCTGCATCAAATATATCATACTGAAACAAGAAAATAAAAAATCTTGAAATAGGCCTTGATAACAGTTCGAGACCTGATAGACTTTCATTTCTCGGTCAACAACTAAAAACTAGATACTGAGCAAATGACAGACTTCCATTTTCTTACATATTCTGAGACGTTACGACCTAAGTTAGATTTCTGAGGGGAAAAATAAAAAAATCTAGAAACTAATATTGGCTTCAAACCCTTGACAAGAAAAAAATACGGAAAAAGTGGCCCGGGATGTAAGTAACAAGGTGGTATTAGAGTTTACACTTCTGACTCTGATTGAAATTTTTCGGCCTTGCTTTCCCGGTAAAATAAAGTGGAACCAGCACTATTTTACCACCTTATTTAAACCCTTTATATATTGCAAATTTCAAAAATTAATTCATAAATTAGAAATCAACATTTACAGTTCACACTAGAAAAGGTAAAATTAAATGTCTTGCTATAGAAAAAAACCCGAGTTAATGTTCTTAAATGGAGACGTTGCATGTGTGACGAATTTGCAATTTGACTATTGACTCTTATGTAAAAGTTCGTGAGAAACACGATGGTGCCACTGGATTTCTCTGAAATCAACTCCTAAACTCATAAAAAGCTCGCAAGTTGAGGTCAAAATTGAGTGGATATCCCACGCTATCCTGAGAGTCCACGTCTACATCAAGACAAACTCTCCATGCAAAAATAGGGAGCAAATACATTAGCAGGGTTGCCGTGTTTTCAGTTTTGGTAGAGTCCCCAAATGAAGTGGCAGCCCTGTAAATGTATTTGCTCCCTATCTTTGCATGGAGAGTTTGTCTTGATGTAGAGGTGGACTCTCAGGGTTGCATGGGATATCTCCTCCTTTTGGCCTCAACTTGAGAGCTTTTTTTGGGCTTAGGAGTTGATTTCAGAGAAAACCAGTGGCACCATCGTGTTTCTCACGAACTTTTACATAAGAATCAACAGTCAAATCGCAAATTCCTCACACATGCAACATCTCCATTCAGCCTTTAAAAAGGTTTGAATGTTCAGCAAATAATCAGAGTTTGGTCATAAACTTCCTTTCTTCAATATCCATCAGAGAACCATTTCTTGTCAAATTATCAAGAAAAATAACTCAGGTCGCAGAAAAGTAGCTCATCATGGAGCACATTAAAATCAATTGTGCAACAGATTTGACACTATTGGACTTTGGTTTCTTTCTGATTAGTGGGGAATACAAAAAACTGAAAAGACAAAACACTAATTTTTCACTTTTAAAACATGTTTGGAATTATTAAAGTCTCCTAAGTGTTCTACATGAAATTTGAATGAAGAAATATCTCAAGTGCTTTATTTCAATCCCTGGCAATCTGTAACAGGGCGGAGATAAGAAAGTGACTCGGAGGAGTTCTTCCATAAAAAAAGACGCCATAAATATTCGTCAAAAAATAAAAATATATCACTGAATTAAAATCATAAAAATGTTTTCAAATATAAACTTGAAGGCGTTTGGACTACAATACTTAGTTTAAAATATTTTGCGCTAAAATTATTCGTTTGCCTGATACTAATATCATTTTCTTCTGCATTTCAGATGGAAAAAAAGGATCTTCTAACCTCTTGTCCAGAGGGGATGTGTTTTGTTCGTGGACCAGTTTTGTCGACCAACTTGTTGACCAGTCGGATGTTTGCAAAGGTTCCTCTTGCCATGATGTCATCGTTACCTCGTCTTGAGCCGTATGAATTGAAATCACGAGGAGTCAAGCTGCAAACAAGATTTTAAAAACAATCGAAAATAAGACTAAGAAAACTGATTCAGATTTAACTATATTCCAAGCAAGTTTAAACAGTCAAAAAATTGGAAAGTTTGATTTGATCAAAGTTGTTTGCAGAGGTAGAGGGTCATTTTCTTATTAAACATCTAACATTAATCTTATATTACAGCTGCATGAACTTATACCGCCACATTCTATTTCAGGGTGTCTACTAAAACAGGCAAGCTAAAAATCAGTGCTTTAACAGTACTTTTTCAGTACATTCTCAAGAAATTCAGTACCTCCTCAACAGAAAAATTCAGTACTTTTTCAGTACCTCCACTTAACGGAATTCAAAAAATTTCAAGAATTTGAATTTCTCGCTCAATTGAGACAAAAATGACAAATAAATTCTGGACCTTCTTGCGGAATTTTCGCACTTTTTCGGTACTTACGGACCGCCCTTTAAAAATCCGTACCATTTCCGAACTTTCCGGAAATTCTGGACTTGTAGACACCCTGTATTTATACAAACAAAATGTGGATCAATACACAAGTCATTTTTAGACATAGTGTTGGTGATTGTACATGCTTTATGACAGTAATATTAATCTTATATTACAGCTGCGTGAACTTATACAGACACATTCTATTGATACAAAAAAATGCGGATCCGCATGCAAGTCACTTTTAGACAGAGCGTTGGTGATTAAACGAGGGTTAAACTCAGTGCACTCAGTAACTCAGTAAGTGTGTTAAATTTCCCTTTGAAAAGAGAATTTTAGTTAAATACCGAAATAATGCATGTTGGCAAAATCACCAACACTCTGTTTGAGATGCTGATGTCTCTGATAAAATTAACGAACAAACTGTCTAAAAACATTAGATTGAGTCACTATGGTTACCACTTGAGGGCATATGGAATGTGAGCTGTTTTTGCTAGAGCTGTCTTTCCTAATTAATTCCAGAGATAACATCCAGCAGCCTTATTGTTGAAATTTTGTGTTTGCCGGGTAGACACAGATGACATAGGTTAAAAGGCGGAGCGTGATTGGTCGGCATGTCTTATTGCTGCTTTATCGTGCCTTTGTCAGGTGGAATGGACGACATACTGTCAGAAACTTAAGAGGTGCCTTTAGCTTGTCGTGAGTTCCACCCGACATAGGCACGACAAAGCACTCATAAGACATAGTCGACCAATCACGCTCTGCCTCTTTATCCATGTCATCTATGTCTACTCGACAAACACAAAATTTCAACAATCAGGCTGCAGGAAAGTAGCTTTTTTTCGTTTATGGTTTGACAGGTTTTTTTTTGGATCTAACCTCTCTTTAAAGTTTTCTGACTGAGAATCAAGACTTAATATTTTATTTTGATCTATAATGATAGAGCACTTATTGTTTCACTTACCCTCTTTCAGCCAAGTAACGAGCGGCTGGGCTGTTTCTTGCAATGCTTCCAGCAGGACTGATGTGATCTGTGGTGACTGAATCACCTAGCAGCAAGAGGACATGGGCATTTTCGATCGGCTTTGGAGAAGGGAGATCCTACAAAGAAAACAATAGATTTTATTGTCATGAACTTAATTTTTTTAAACATTTAAAGAGACGAGTGATTCCCTGCCTTTCTCTAACTTTCGAACAGGACCCTCACTGAAATTGCTTTCTTTTGATTAGACTGACTTGTTTGGCGAGAGAATTGCTTGAAAAACTCAGCGGCCCAACAACTTCAGCCAATGCTATTTGAGAGAGTGCGAACAATCCCCGAATGTTTCTCTCCATGATTCAAATCTCTTGAAGTAAAAATTTGGAGAAACATTCGGAGATTGTTCGCACTCTCTCAAATAGCATTGGCTGAAGTTGTTGGGCCGCTGAGTTTTTCAAGGAATTCTCTCGCCAGCCCAATGAATTCCCTGACATTTCAGAAGTTCCAGACCACCAGAAACCCTGTTTGTATCTCTGTATCTTGGTTCTATTTTAATGAGACTTGATTCCTCAATATTAAACTCTGTCTTCATGAAGTTTCATCTTTAATTCTTTGTAGGGCTGGGCACTGAGTCATGCTAAGCCAAGCCTTCGCACAAATAAATTTAAACCAAATCCATCTTTAAGACGGATAGATTCTTTTTCAATGGGCCAAAAGAAAAAAATGGCGCATCACTGAATAAAACCCAATTACGATAACTCACTTTGGTCATTCCATCAAAGAACGGAGGCTTCTTGATATAGGTGGAGGATGTGTCCCAAGGATAGAGCTGACCCTCAGGTGCAACCAACGATTGCCAGCTGTTGGAGCCGTTCTCGATGCAGGCGTACACTTCGTGGAACATGGACGGAATCACGTATTTTTCTTCCACTTCTTGGATTTCTGATCTTGAAGGCCAGATATTTTCTAAAAATATTTTTTTGCCATCAGCATTAATACCTGCAAATCAAAACAAGAGAGATACAATGCAAATTTTAGCACATTTGAAAGGAATCTGAAGCCTGGGGTACATTTGAAACCCGACCCACGATTTGTTGAAGATGATTCTGCGTTTGAAACTGTCCACAGGAAGAAGGAGTTAATTAAACCTCTATGGCAAAGTGTTCTTTATTTGCAACAACACATTTTTGGTTTCTTCCTAACTTTAACTATTCGTCTGTTGCACGATGTTGCAAATTTTCATCAGTGTTTATCTTATTTAAAGAAATGATCACCAAAAGTTTGAAATTTTTCGGGAAAAATTCGTGACTCCGTGTTTTACCACAATTACAGCAGAGATTTGTGTCTCCCAAAATCTGAGGCAAAAAATTAATCCATACCACAGAAAATGAAGTATTAAGGAATTCAAACTGTAGATTTTGGTGCCGCAGAAAGAAAATTGTTTGGAGAACATTTTAGAACAAAAATAAATAAATATAATAAAACGCCAAAGAAATATGAAACAAAACCAAAGTTACAATGGTTTGAAACTTAAAAAACTAGACATTTACAAGCCATAATTTGGAGAAAAAAAAACTATATCAAGTTTCAAGGTGAAATATTTGCGACTAAAAATTATTGGACATTTTTACGACAATTTGAAGTTAGCACAATTTGTTTTTACTAAAAATGGATAAGAACCTATTTCAAGATTTAGTGTGACGTGTTGGAAGCTGAAAATTGTTGGTTATAAATAAAGTAGATACACACGCTCTCTTTGGGAAAAACATATAATTGTGCGGCTTAGTACTTTCTCTTCTGCGTACTCTGACATAATAATCAAAAACTCAAAAAACATATATTTATTGTTACATGTCGGCTGTGAAACTGTGAGAACCTAAATCTAAGTTTAAGACGTTGCAGACACTCAATCGTAATTTATTTTTTTACTTATTATTTTTTTTTTTTCAAAAAAAAAAAATTCCAACATCATTTCTTGAAACTTCCCTGATTTTTCTCAAGTGTGAAAAGTTGAGTGATCAAAAGTGATACTTTTGCTCGTTCACCCACAAATATAATTCAAAACAGAGTTTCAAGTGAGTCACTCTTCACATAAAAACCTGCTTTGGAAACAGGAGAAATAAATCGAGGGGAAAAACTAACTCAACACGGTTGAAGGTGCTATAGTAAGCGAAAACACGAAGCTCCCTCAATGGGCTTGCATACGACCAGTCAGTGAGATCGCATTTTGAACGTGTTCAATAAGTTGCAGATACTGTTATTTGAAGGCGATTTTAGCGTGGGAACACCAAATCCATGGTGCAAGTCCGCAACCTCGTATCTCAGTTTGCGACGGGGAAGACTTCCTGTCATACTCCATTTTTAAAATAGAAAACCACTCAATGGCAATTCCTAAAAATTGCCGTGATTTTTCTTCCTGGAACAAAGAAAATTCTGCGAAAACTTCGAGGAATGATGTTGCTTTGTTCACCATTAAGAAAATAAAATAGAGCGGAGATTTTCAAACACCGCGTACAAGATGCGTCGTTGCGGGCTTACACCATCGAAAGGGATGACTACGGTGATCAAAAACAGTTCGTTCGTACTTTAGAATGAGTTTTGGTTGATAAATGCCGCCTAAGTGTAGTTACGACTATTATCAGCCGAGCGACGAACTGTCGCGGTCCCCAAAACCACCAGAAATCTGAAAATTTTTACTCCATGAAAGAAAAACCAATGACTATAATTTGAAAAGGAAATTACCGATAGGTTCAGTCTTGAAATCGATGTCGACACGGCCAGCAATGGCGTACGCGATCACCAAAAGAGGGGAGGCCAGATAGTTGGCTCTCGTGTTGGGGTGGATACGGCCCTCGAAGTTACGATTCCCCGAGAGGACGCCGCAGCAGACAAGTTCATGCTGAAAAAAGGAAAAAATCGTCATGACAAATATATCTACAGAAATTTCGATGTGTAAAAAGAAGGGAGGTTTTCTTGAATCTTAAAATTTCTAGACTCAGGGTCGCCACAAAATTTAGAAAATGCGATTCCCCGATACATTTGAGTAATATTCCCTACCAACTGAAAATATGCCAGATGATTAGAAAAACTTAATTTGCGATAGTTTTCGGGCAAATTTGGTGTTGAAAACGTCAAACCCATTATAAAAAGCAAATAAAGGTGATTCAACAATTTTTCTCTGACACTTTCATCATTTTTCCTGACTTTCCAAGGTTTTCCCTGACTTTTTGAAAATCCCTGAAATTTCCAGCAGCTGGACCTGAAGTGTTCAGATGCTAAATCCGAAAACTTCAGAGATCCATATGACCTAAACTTCCGGTCCCACGCACGAAGTTTTTTTCTCCGTGTGCATGGACAAAATAATGGCCCATACGTTGTTTCTAAAATGAGCCAGACAATTTAGTTCCTTGATACAAAATGTCAAATTTTGAGGTTGAATTCTGGCTAGTTCTTCGGGAGAACGACACCCTGGACTTCCGATAAAGACATGGGTTTACTCCTTCCGAAAAGTGTTATATGAGTGATAAAGGCGGGGAATCGAATCCGGTTCCATTCCTTATTGATACCCCAGAGTCCCAGACTTTGCGAGCTGCGGGGCTTCCCCGGGAATTCCGCGTCCTATATCGTCGCACCGCACCGCGCCCATCGCTCCGCACGAGCACGTCTTGCCGCCTTGATGATGACGGCACCATAGAATCCCAAATTGAGTGATTACCCAACGTGGCAAAATTTCATGAAATGGACCACTAGACAAGGTACAAATAAGTAATCTAATACATCGACGGTGAAAGTCGGCAATCACATAACTCGGTTTGCGACGTCGCAGACTTCCTGTCATACTTTATTTTTTAAATGGAAAACTACTCAACGGCAATTCTTTAAAACTGTCATGATTTTTTTTCTCAATGCGAAGAAAATTCTGCATACATTTTAAGGAATGATGTCAATGTTTTCTCATTTAAAAAAATAACAGAGGCGGAGATTTTCCGACACCGCAAACGAGTTATGTGATTGCCGACTTTCACCGTCGACATGTTTCTTGACCAGAATTTCACGTAGAAAACGATTCACACAACTAAAATTACTAAAACCAACACCTAACGAAGATATTCACGTTTTTATTTCACATTGGTTACGAGGAATTTGAACTGCCCGCTCACAAGAAACTCAAAGCTCTACGTGAGTCAAATCGCGCACTACAACGGTTTCAGCAAGCTTCTCGATCGAGAAATGATCATTTCCCACCATGTGTCGTTCAAACTATAAACAACTTGCTATAGCTGAGCCAAAGCGTCAAGATTGAGGTTGCCAGATTCTAATATCGCAGAGACTGTCATGATAACGTTTAGCGAGCGATGTGAGTCACGTAGAGCATTGAGTTTTCATGAGCGGGTGGTTTGAATTTACGCATCAAGAATCGTTAAATATTTTCGTAAGGAATTTATTTCGGTAATTTTAGTTGTGCGCATCGTGTTCTACGTGAAATCTTGGCGAAGAAACACGTATCAGAATGCTGACATTCGTACCTTGTCTAGTGGTCCATTCAGAAGGGTGAAATTTGACGCAAAATATTTCAAGAATTTAGGTTTCGAACTGCAAGTAGCCATCCTCGCGCCAAACAATGACTAAAATTGGATTGCATTTTGCAAAAAAGAACAAAGAGCATTCTCATGTTTCTAAGATGGTGCAACTTACATTCTTTGCAAAAGAGTAACAAATTCATGCAAAAAAATTAATTTTACGAGGGTAATTTTAAATGCCGTTTATTGGGAGTAAAGATAAAACTTGTTTAGATAATTGTTTTTTGTTTGTAAGGTAAAAGAAGTTGCACAATCTTAGTGACATTTGAATGCTCCTGGTTCCTTTCTGCAAGATGCAATCCAATTCATCTGACATCACTTGAGGACATAATTAGACAGCGTTTAGCAGAAAGGAACCAAGCCACATCAGCCATTGCCAGATTTAACAAGGTATTTTAATTTGTTACGAGAGAATGTTTGGGCGGGTTCCTTTGAGAATTTTAAAGAATTATTTGCTTCGTACCATGCAAAACAAATTCACCGAAATTTGCACAAAAATCTGCACGACCGTTTCCATGTGAAAAAATTAGATTGCCGAATTTAATTTGACAATAGCAGATGTGGCTTGGTTCCTTTCTGCTTAACTTAAGTTTCGGACTGCATGTAACCAATCCTCGCGCGAAACAATAACTAACATTCAGCTGGCATCACATGAGAGCACAATTTTAATCATGTCATCATTCATTTTTTTCCATAAAGGAAAAAGCAGATATTTAGCATTGGATAAAAAAAAAAAAAAAAAAAAAAACCGGGAATACTTTTTGCAGTATTTGATGTTTCTGACAAAGTGCCGGTTGCATACTCTGCTCCTAAAATGAAAACTTATTATTTCTCATGAATCATAGCCTCAAGAAATCTCACGAAAAACACAGAAATTTTAAATCATGCATATTGTCGCTTCCCTCACGAAAGAGCCTAACTACATTTCAATGTTGCTAAATTTCTTCTCACAAATTTCATTTATACTGGGAGAATCTTTGTCATTTCTAACTGGAAAATTCCCCTGATTTTTCTCCTGGTATCATGCAAAAATCAGACAAATTATGGACCAAAATTGCACGGATACATATATGAGGACTTATCTGTAACAATAGCGGCTGTGAAAAATTACCTTTTCGAAGCACATTCAAAAAACTGTTTCGGCATCGAGAAAATTTTGAGAGGATACTTGAGATGTGATCTTCAAGATCTGTACATTATGCAAGAGCCAAACATATTAAATTTTTGTGTGAACAAAACAGTTTTTAAAGCGTAATTCTAAAAGGTAATTCTTCACATCCGCCATTCTTACATATAAAGCCTCAGATGTAAAAAATTGAATTATCTGTGTCAATTTTGCAACCTTGGAATGGAGTCCCCTTCCTTCGTGCGGGGAACGACGACATGATTCAAATACGGATTGCAGAGGCGGGTCCAGCGATCTGGCAACACCGGATTCCCTCCATTTAAACCTATGTTAAATAATCGATTCTGGTCGGAGCACCTGGCCCCTCAAAGAATCGATGCATTTCCATGGGTTTAAATCATGGTGTCTAGTTTTCTTGGCAAAGCTCATCTTCTGATTCTTCCCTGATTTTAAGGAGCTCATTCCCTGATGAGAAACCGAAGTTTTCTCCCACTTTCCCGGGATGTTCTTGGGGAAAAGAATATAATTTTCGAGTGTTTTATATATGCAAATCGATTTTAATTAAGCTTACAGCCATTTCTCTGGCGCACGTCAGATTGGACCGCCAAATTTGAAAACGAAATGATACGTGGGTAGTTCGGGGAGACATTCCCGGTTTCTGCAACAAATTCCCTGATTTTCCCGGTAAATTTTCATTCCCTGATGAATCCCGGTTTTCCCCGGTTTTTAAAAAACTAGGCACCATGGTTTAAATGGAGAAAAACAATGTTGCCAATTTAATTGATCCGCCGAATGTGGATTGTGTCCAAGTCCTACCTTTTCGATGGCAGCAACGACGGGGTCGGGCAGGGGTCCACTGTTGCCGATACAGGTCATGCACCCGAATCCGACGGTGTCGAAGCCCAGGGCGGTGAGGTAGGGCACGACCCCACTCTCGCGGAGGTAGTAGGTCACGACCCCCGAACCGGGCGACAGACTCGTCTTGATGTACGGGTCCACCGAGAGACCAGCCTCCACCGCTTTCTTGGCCAAGAGACCTGCCATAGAAAGAAGAAGAATTGAAAAAAAAATCATGCCTGATCAGAGACAACAATGGAGATGTTGCATGTGAGACACCGCAATCAGACGCTGAAGGTGGGAGCTGAATGTGGCTTGAAAGTGGAAGTCATCGGCCCGATGCCTGAATTTTGCGCGTCACGCGCAAAATTCAGCAACGATTCTCAGCAACCATCGGACCAATTTTGAATTTGTCTGAACTATTCGAGTAGATTTGATACACATCTGGATGAAAATAACTCGAATTTGCTAAATTTCAGCCGTTGGACGATGACTGTTGACTTCCGCATTCAGGTGCTAAATTCAGCGTCTGATTGCAGCATGAGGGATTTGCGATTTGACTGTTGTTTCGTATGTCAAAGTTCGCGAGAAACACGATGGTGCCACTGGTTTTCTCTGAAATCAATTCCCAAGCTCAAAAAAAGCTCTCAAAGTGAGGCCTACATGGAGGGGATATCCCGCCCTACCCTGAGAGTCCACCTCTACATCAAAACAAACTCTCCATGCAAAGATAGGGAGCAAATATATTAACAGGGCTGCCACTTCATTTGGGGACTCCAAAACTGAAAACATGGCAACCCTGCTAATGTACTTGCTCCCTATCTTTGCATGGAGAGTTTGTCTTGATGTAGAGGTGGACTCTCTGGATAGCGTGGGATATCCCCTCCATTTTGGCCTCAACTTGATAGCTTTTTATGAGTTTAGGAGTTGATTTCAGAGAAAACCAGTGGCACCATCGTGTTTCTCGCGAACTTTTACAGAAGAATCACCAGTCAAATCGCAAATCCCTCACACATGCACCATCTCCATTTCGTTTCGTTGTAACGGAACGGAGGTTGGCAGTAAATTAAAAACTTGGACCATATCCACTCGCGAAAATTTGTCTAAATGCGCTAGCGACTCGCGACTTTGAGAGGCCTTCGCTGCAGATTTTTTACGAACCAACGACCAATCGGTCGTCCGCGAACTGCGTAAGCAGTGAGAAAATTGTGTAGGCTACGACCTTGAATAATGGATGATATAAAATGTATTACGTTTTCATTATGATGCAAAGTGGATAAAAGTGTGTATTCATAAAATGAACCAGGATACATTTTCGACCGACTCACAGACTTTAACGTAGGGGTAGAAAAGTTGAGTGGGGCGAAAGGCGCGATACAACTTTTTCAACTTCCCAGCCGTTAAAATTGCAGTTTCACAAAATGAAGGGGAATCTATTTTTGGCTGACTTGGAGACTTGAACACGGGAGTAGGAAAGTTGAATGGGACTAAACGCGTAAAGCGTCGTCAAAAAGCGTCGCCTCAGCGTGTGCCTTCGGCTGGAGTTGCCCTATGGCTAGACGCCCCAGGCCCCAGACGGAACCTGACCGGGAAGCCCTAAATCTGAACCGCGCAGCGTCTGCATTCGACAATGGCCCTCGGCAACCGATCACTTTCTAATCCAGCCTCCGGGCGGGGGTGCAGAAAGTTATTGGATCAATGTTGCTTTGCTATAATATAAAAGCAATGTTATAAGCAAAAACGCCGTATGAGCAATTGAACGTTGTCAGGTGGCCCCCTAGAAAGTGATTACTTTTAAAAAAGTTACGCATATTTTTCTTTAAAAAGTTAAAGAGGACTTTGACGAATTTAAGCATTTTGTGCCAGGAAAATCGATGAGTGAGTTACTGGCTTCATTGTGAAGATTCATCATTTTCTTCGTTTAATGCTGGCTGATAATAAACACGTTGAAAGAATTTTTAAACTTTTTTTCGCCCCTGTCCTTATCCCGTGTTAAATAAAGCCTCGTTTTCTTAAACCATCTTTTCATATTGGAGAAAAGGCCACAAAGATTGGATAAAGAAGAGCGCCTTCAACACACTATGTAATCTCAATGCAAAATTATGATACCACTATACGTGCGTCACGACAGTCATTTTGCATAGCCGGCTAATTGAAGGAAAATCTTTGGTTTCCAGTGGACCAGTAGTCTTCAGTAGACAAGGTACGAATTTAAGCATTCCGATACATGTTTCTTGACCCAAATTTCACGTAGAATACGATTCGTGCGACTAACAACACTGAAAGGAACTCCTAACTAAGATATTAACGTTTTCAGTTTAAACTGGTTACAAGAATTTTGAATTCCCGGCTCACAAGAAAAACAATAGTCTATTTGAATCTAATCGGGCATTCCAACGGTTTCAGCAGGCTTTTTAATCGAGCAATATTCCTTCATGTTGGTGTTAAAGTGTTAACGACGTGCAATAGCTAAGCCGAAGCACCGAAATCGTGGTTACCATCTTTTCATACCGCAAAAAAGGCCTCAAATAAAGGATACAGAAGAGCTCCTTCAACGCACTGTGTAATCTCAATGCGAAATTGTGATACCTTTCTACGTGCGTCAAGACAGTTATTTTGCATATCCGGCTGATTGAAGGCAATTTTTTGGTTTCCAATGGACCAGTAGATTAAATAATACATGATTCCTGACCAAAAATTCATGTAAAATACAACTCGCGCGAAGAAAAATGCTGCTGAAAACAGCTCCTAACTAAGATATTAACGTTTCTAGTTTAAACTGGTTACAAGAATTTTGAGCACTCTGCTCACGAGAAAAAAAATAGTACTTGAATCTATTAGCACGTTAGCTGTTAAACTATTTGGACTGCATTTTGCAATTTGGAACTATAGATTCTGGCTCATCTGAAAAAACACTTATGTGCATAGGGAAACCAATGGCACATACGTTGTTTTCAAACCGGGCCAGAGTTTATAGTTCCAAATTGCAAAATGCAGTCCATTTGTTCATACGTTTAGAAATTTCCGTGTTTACGGTCACTTTGGGATAGTTTTCTTTTGGTAAGGTGAACCAAACATTTTTGGTTGTTCAGCACGATCTTTTGTTCAATCAACCAAAACATTAGATTACTCTGAGACATCTAGGGACGAGGGAAGTGTCTTGTTCTGCCGTGCTAAGGAAAAACGCCGTATGAACCTTCAGGCGTTGACGAATTTCCTCGACAAGTCGCTAATTTTCAGGAACTTTTTTGAATATTTTTCTGTTATTTTTCCCGACGAATTTTGTTCGTAATTTGATCTAAAAAGTCTGAAAATTTCAAGGAAAAATATTCATAAAACATTTCAAAAAAATCATTCAAGAAACATTTTATCGTAGAAAATCTGGCAACTCTAGAATGTTTATACGGCGTTCTTCCTTAGCACGGCAGTGCTTGACTTTGTTAGTTGCTCTTGTTTCTCATCATGCCTCTCCAAGGAGCAGAAAAAAGTTCTTCGACCAACGCATTTTCTAGCAATTTGAGATTCTGCGCACGCAGCCGTGCGCAGAGATAGTATGAATTATCGCCTCGTTCATTTTCTGTAAATTCTGCTCTTTTCCAATAAATTCCTCAACAATTTTACGCTTTCGCCGTAATCTTTCAAAAATTCAACCCTCAATCAGTAATTTTCCAATAGATTCAACACTCACCCAATAACTTACCAAAAAAATTCAACTTTTTCGCTTTTACAAAATATCAACATCCTTGTCATATAATTTGGTAAAAATTAGTGCATCGAGCGTTCTGTCTCCAAAATAAAACCGGGTTTTTTTATTCGAGTATCTGAACGTTCGTTTAACCAAACTTGGTCCATCGTTTCTTTTAACCTCAGAAGTCTTGTTATGCGAATGGAAGTTGAGTTTGATGAACCAAATATTTGGGATGATGTAGACCACCTTGTTCTCCTTCAGTCAGTGGATATGCTAATTTACCTGCTTGGAAGTCAAAATATTTGTATTACGCGATTAGTCCCATTCAACTTTTCTACTCCCGTGTTTAAGCCTCCAAGTCAGCCAAAAATAGATTCCCCTTCATATTGTGAAACTGCAATTTTAACGGCTGGGAAGTCGAAATAGTTGTATCACGCGTTTCGCCCCATTCAACTTTTCTACTCCCGCGTTTAAGTCTCCAAATCAGCCAAAAACGGATTCCCCTTCATTTTGTGAAACTGCAATTTTAACAGCTGGAAAGTCGAAATAGTTGTATCACGCGTTTCGCTCCATTCAACTTTTCTACTCCTGCGTTAAAGTATCTAAGTCGGTCGAAAATGTATCCTGCTTCATTTCATGAAAACACACTTTTATCCACTTCGCATCATAATGAAAACGTAATACATTTTATATCATCCATTATTCAAGGTCGTAACCTACACAATTTTCTCACTGCTTACGCAGCTCGCAGACGACCGATTGGTCGTTGGTTCGTAAAAAAATCTGCAGCGATGGCCTCTCAAAGTCCGAGACTCGCGAGTCGCCAGCGCATTTAGACAAATTTTCGCGAGTGGATATGGTCCAAGTTTTTAATTTACTGCCAACCTCCGTTCCGTTACAACAAAACGAAATTCCCTCCGAACGACGGTGTGCTTATAACATTTGGTTTTCATGCTGGCAGCAAGGACCACATCCATTATGCTCGACCCACCTCCCGAGGATGGATGCAAACGTTGGCCAAAAAAACTGACTCTAAGTTAAATCCGCGCGATTTAACTTTAAAAAACCAACAGGACCACTAGACAAGGTACGAATTTAAGCATTCTAATACATGTTTCCGAACCAGAATTTCACGTGAAATGCGATTCGCGCAACGAAAATTACTGAAATCAACTCCTAAGGAAGATACTAACGTTTTTATTCCACATTGGTTACGAGGAATTTGAAAGGCCCGCTGACAAGAAACTCAAAGCTCTACGTGAGTCAAATCGCGCACAACAACGGTTTCAGCAAGCTCCTTAATCGAGCAATGGTTATTTCCCACCATGTGTTGTGCAAACTATAAATTTGCTAAAACTGAGCCAAAGCGTCAAGATTGAGGTTGCCAGATTTTTAAATCGCAGAGACTGTCATGATAACCGCTTAGCGCGCGATATGGATCACGTAGAGCATTGAGTTTTCATGAGCGGGTGGTTTGAATTCACGCATCAAGAATCATTGAATATCTTCGTGAGGATGTGATTTGGGTAATTTCCGTTGTGCGCATCGTGTTTTACGTGAAATGTTGATTGAGAAACATGTATTAAAATGCTGAAATTTGCACCTTGTCTAGTGGTCCATTCTGTCGACAAAAAAGGACGCTTTAAGTCAAGATTACATCTTGAGAAAAAATAATTTCAGTGCATATTGGTGAGGAATGACGAGAAAATATAGAAGAAGAGATATTGATGGGTACTGACCGGCTCCGAGCATGACGCTGGGGTTGCTGGTGTTGGTGCAGGAGGTGATGGCCGCGATGACGACGGATCCGTGACGGAGGGTGTACTCCTTCCCCTCGTAGACGAACGGCGCCGTCACGTCCAACTTGTCCGCTCCCAGCCCGTACCCCTTGAATCCCACCTGCAACAATGCCACACGAAAACCGTTAATCATTCCATCGAGCTTGAGCTTTGCCGTAAGGCAGAGAGCCGTAACCCTCAAATTTTCGAAATCGAGTCTCCTTCGAAATTCGTATTATCTCTTTAGGGTGGAATCACTGCAACAGCTATAAAACAGCAAAATTCGTCTTATTAAAGTTGTGTAAAAAAACGAAACATGGGTGATTCAATGGACGCCATATTTCGTGTCAGAGCGGTATGCGGTATATCGCATCAATTGGTTCCATTTTTTCAGCTACGCGTCATTTTCCTCCAATTTTGAGATCGCAATTCTGTTGTCAGGAGACTAAAGCACTCACTTACCAATTTTCACAAACAAATTCAACGTAATAAAGGCTTGTTTTTTTCAGAGAGAAAACATCGCATTCGATGCTGATATCGAAACTGCACCCGACTGTGATATTTTCTCTTTAAAAAAACCACGCCTTTATTACGTTGAATTTCTTTGTTAAAATTCGTAAGTGAGTGCTTTAGTCTCCTGACAACAGAATTGCGATCTTTAAATTGGAGGAAAATGACGAGTAGCTGAAAACAAGCAGTGAACTCCAACACAATGTGTTGATAAGGCGCGTCATTAACTCGCACATATCAACCCCTTTAGTTTTCATTTACAGAGATTTCAAAATAGGCAAACAGCATAAAAAGAGAATTCACGATCCAACACTGCGAGGTCAAAGACGCACCTTGACGAGACCGTGTATTGTGAAAGTAGAAAGCTATTCGATCGAATTTAAGTTTTTTGATCTGCCTCAAGCAAAATCTTATCAGATTCTTGAAGAAAAGTGCTACGGAATAATTTAAGCGAAGAAAGGAAAAATTCTGTCGAACTCCTAGAAGATAAAGTCGATTTAAAGGTATTTTGGGGCTAAAATACCCAAATCACCGGTAGTAAAAATCCCGTTATATTATTGAAAAGAAATTGACTCGATATAAATGCAATTGCATTAAATACGTCTTGATTTTGTTATTTTAAACGTCTTTCCATGCAAAGAAGTTCAACCATGTCGTTGCTTTATTCATTCATGAATTGAAAGTAAGCAATCTACATCCCGAAAATCTACTGATTTGCCGTAAAAAATTGCAGAAACTTGATATACCAGGTCGATGCACCCACTCGTTGAATTTACCAACCAATTTTGTGAGTGCA